ACCAAATTGTTTCTGCGGTTTAATGATTGGAAAAAGCCAGAACTAGCCACAAAAGCTACTAGCTTCCCGCCTCGACAGAACTTGTCTATACATTTAATATTAAACCCTGATAAAACCTACTATTCCATTTGTGAAAAAACGGAAAAGTAATACGTGATGACAGTAAATGACGGTTTGGTTCCCAGAAATGTTTAAATGCATGCTAAAAAAATTTTCTCTCTCTCTCTTTGCAGTTGAGCTTGCGAGAATATTCATCAGGAAGGACATCCTGTAGACAAGGTAGGGTTGAAAACACTTCCAATATTGACCTTTTCGAAAGGAACCCATTTCGCGTCAGAATTACAATGTTTGTGTGGGAATCCAATGGCAAATAGTTCCTTAAAAGTCAAATGCCAAACTTATGAATATGAAAGTTAAGATACTAGACAAAGGATTGTATTGACGAAATTTTGGGGATGAAGCTGTGTTAAAGAGCGTCCAGTCCAGTTTTAACTGGTGCGAACTTCTGAACGCCGCGTACAAATTCGCGGGGAAAAAAAACTCATAGACCAAAGTATAGAAAATTAAGAAGGCGACTGGACGCTTTCTAGCATAGCTACATCCCTGAAATTTGGTCAATGCCATCCCTAGTCTATTATCTTAACTTTGGTAACGAGTAAGGCCAGGGTACGACTGTCATCTTTTACGGAAATTCCTGAAAAAATGCTAAATTAATTTTCCACTCGCCATTGGAAACCGGATTTTTTGGTCGCGCGCCCTTGGTTTCAAATTCTTCATAAACTTAGCTTGCCAAAGTTGCGGTGGGCCCCTAATCGCTTTCATTTGGTTTCATATAAGCGGCGGAACGTTACGGATTAAATGTTAGTGATAAATTTAGTATTTCTGTGTTATGAATATCGTTAGCCGTCGTTTTACAGCTTTCAAAGTGTGTTCATGTAATGATATACTCGGGATACCTTTAAGGTCGGCACACACGAGGGGACCAGTCCCTGCGACCAGTCCCTGCAACACGTCACGGGGACAAGTCCCATCGTGTGAACTGGCCATTTTTGCTTCAAAATCTAGTCGCAGGAACCAACTTTGCTCCCTGCGACTAGTCCCACAAATTCAAACCAGTTTGAATTTTTGGGACAAGTCCCTGCGACCTGTTCCTCAAAACGCTTCGTGTGAACCGTACGTGGGACAAGTCCCTGTGACCAGTCCCTTCCTGTAAACTCCTTCAGGGGATTAGTTGCAGGGACTAGTCGCACGGACTAGACCCCTCGTGTGTGCCGACCTTTAGTAGGCTGGCAAGGGTTTCCAGCATTTTCCGGTCAGTACTTCTACTTTAATGGATCAAAACTGCCTTATACTCTAATCACCCTGAAACGATTATAAAATATTTTGTAACTAATCTTAATAAACACAAACACAGCATCAGGGGGCGGGCATCTCGTTTATTGATGCAGGATACAGCGAGCGTTTCATCATCACAAAGAAAATACAGCAGTGAATAAACAGAAAAATTAAAAAGCAAAGTTGAAAGAGATGCCTTCGAGTGGCTCTTGCATAACTTACAAATTCTTAAATAGCCTACTAGCCCCTTGGGGATTCACGCCTAAAATACCTCTACAGTTAACACGAACCATACATAGTGAACATACTCCAGTGTAATTAGCGAAACGTTACAAAATATATTTATTTTTCGATGGCAAACAGATGCGCAAACATGTAAGAGAGGCCTGAAAGATAAGATAATTAATCTCCCCTATAGTCTCTATTCTCAAGGTAGTCCTTCCCAGTTATTTTCTATATGTTGTACCCATACAGTCCTTCCGGGAATAACTCGCCTGACAGGGATTACCTTGGGAATAGGACCTTTATGGGGGGATTAACTCTCGCTTACCTTCACCCTCTCCATTTCTTGTCATAACAAGTTACCATAACATCGTTATAACCTGTCAAAACATCCTCAGTTTTAGCTTTATAGTCAAACCAGATGCCCTTTCGATGCAAACTCTGCAAAGTTGCGAAATAATGTTCTAATATTGATTGAGAGGTTTACTCGATGCAACTTGCAACTAGCAATTCAAATTGGTTCGAGAAAGTTGCCAAGTTAAAATTTGCTCTACAAGGTGCGCATACGTTCCAAGTTATGAAGCCTGATATTCAGACTGCGATTTGAACTCACTCGATCTTCCGAAACTTGGGAAAGCTTCGAAAATATCCGGTGATCTTCGGAGATCGCCGGAGATTGTCAAAAGTCTTCGGAAATCCTGGGAAGTGTTCGAGTGATCTTCAGAAATCTTCGGAAGTGTTCGGGCGATCTTCGGAAGTACTCAAGTGATTTATGAAAATCTTCGAAGATGTTCGGGTGATATTCGGAAATCTTCGGAAGTGTTCCGGTGATCTCCGGAAGTCTTTGGAATTGTTCAGGTGATCTTCGGAAATCTTCGGAAGTGTTCGAGGGATCTTCGGAAATCTTCGGGAGTGTTCGGGTGATCGTCGGAAATCTTCGGAAGGTTTCGTGTGGCCTTCGATAATCTTCGGAAGGTTAAAAGCTTAATTTCATTGGCTGAGACAAACTGTCCTATTTTTTCCCAAATTGGACAGTTTCTGCGTTTTTACTCAAAGTCCTGATTGAAAACTGTCCAAATTAAATCCCAAATTGGACAGTTTTCAGAAATTAAAGGATAATAGCTGTGCTGACAATACTGGATTAACTGACTGCTATATAATTAGAGCTGAAATAATGATATTATATCTAACCGGCTTTAGCATAACTATTAAATGATTGAAAAGATAAAAACAGGTGTTAACACACTAGCTTTTTCCGCTTCGATAGAACTTGTTTAGATCGACGTATATTAAACCTGCTATTCCATTTTTGTCACAACTGAAAAGTAATTCATCTAAAAATAATAGTTTGGTTCCCAGAAAAAATTCAATGCATGCTAAATATTTGACTGTTTCTCTTTAAAGTTGAGCTTGTAAGACCATTCATTGGGAAGGATTTTACTATCGACAAGACAGAGTTGAAAACATTAGCTTAAAAACTAATTTCCGATAGACCTTATCACGGTTTTGGAAGCCATCTTGACGGGTAGGAAATACGCGTCAGAATTACACTGTTTGTATGGGAATCTAATTGCAAATAATTTTCTTAAAAGTCGAATGCTGAACTTATGAATAGCAAAATTAAGATACTAGACAAAGGACGCTTAATTAGGGCTCAGATATTGATCACTCTCTTCTTTTGCGTAGGTGAGAATGAATTTCTTCCTAATACTGCTGACCATCACAGCCTCTGTTTCAAGTTCATTTACTTCTGAAAACAACCGCTCCTCCTTTCTTCACACTGTGGAGGACTATTATCTACAAGGTCACGTGAGCCATCGTCAGATGTCTCCCTCTGTTTTGTCATGCGCACAACTCTGCATGAGAAATCGTCCTCTGTGCCGTTCAATGAATTACGACAAGGAAGGAAGCAAGATTTGTGAGTTGAACGATGAAGGAATAGACATTACCCAGACTGGTGTCACCTCCCTTGTTCCTAAGAGTGGATTCATCTTTGGTCAACCGCTAAATCTCACGGTTAGTAATAACAAGAAATCATAAATCACTAATGGAACAGACAGAGTACTACTGACTACAAGCAAATGGTATAAATTGGATGCTAATCGTTCTGCGCTGCTGAGGTTGTTGTTGTACGTGCAATAGAAGACTAGATAAAAGTNACTCGCTATGTAATTCCGTCCACAACGCCTTCGCTACGAAACATTTATTTCAAGATTGCTTCGCCCGCAAATTCGAAAATAGCCTCATCAAAAATACAGAGGACACTTTTGCGGTTCGCGTAGTACGTTGGGTAACTATGATTAACCAGACCGGGGGTAGGCAGCAACGATTTGTCAACAGCCTCTTGGTGGGTTTGACAAATAAAGCACAAGGGTACCCGGGAAACAGTTTGCTTTGGCTGTTGGGCCGCCTGTGGAGTAGTAATAGAGAATTACTGTACGACGAAGACCACTGGCGCGAAAAGGATGTTTCTCTGGCGAAGGCAACCTCGTTCCCAGGGTCTTCTCTCCATCTTAAGGTAGAGAGAGGACCCTGAGAACCAGGTTTTGGCGAAGGAAGGTTAACTTTGCTGACGTCATGAGCGTGCGTCACTGGCAGTTATGATGCACGCTCATGTATACTGAGTTTAATAATGCGGCTTTGCTAGGTATGTTATATTTTTAATTCGCTAATATATCCCTTTAGCTGAGGACGTTCCTTCTGTTTCATGTAACCCGTCTTCTCAGTTGTGCATACCCCTGATAGATGCTTTATTCATCACTCTCTTCTTTTGCGTAGGTGAACATGTATTTCTTCATAGTACTGCTGACCATCAGAGCCTCTGTTTCAAGTTCATTTACTCCTGACAACAACCGCTCCTCCTTTCTTCACACTGTGGAAGACTATTATCTACAAGGTCACGTGAGCCATCGTCAGATGTCTCCCAGTGNAACAAGAAATCATAAATCACTAATGGAACAGACAGAGTACTACTGACTACAAGCAAATGGTATAAATTGGATGCTAATCGTTCTGCGCTGCTGAGGTTGTTGTTGTACGTGCACTGGAAGACTAGATAAAAGTGAATCTTAGGATGGTCAATTAAAATGTTTTCTTTTTTTGTTTTGAAACATTCTTCTTACATCATTTACAATCTATAGTCAGTTATCCATGTGTCATTCAGCATTAGTTGTGTTGTATCATTAGCTCTGTTCTTTCCTCTTACATTTTACGATATTTCAAAAAGTCAGACAGGCCAAAATGAGCAAATTGTTGAAACAAGGGTAGAAATTTTTCCTAATTCTTTCAAACAGGGCTCGAATTCCGGAAAACCGCTTTCAGTTCAAAGTCATCTATGGTCAAATATCTTAGCGTTCATTGCAAGTTATGACTAATTAGCTGAGTCAGTTAGAGACTCATTTTAAATCCCTTTTCTTATTAGAATCAATACAACGAGTCTTCGAATACTGGAAATAAAGGTAAACCTCTTNTAAATCTCACGGTTAGTAATAACAAGAAATCATAAATCACTAATGGAACAGACAGAGTACTGCTGACTACAAGCAAATGGTATAAATTGGATGCTAATCGTTCTGCGCTGCTGAGGTTGTTGTTGTACGTGCAGTGGAAGACTAGATAAAAGTGAATGTTAGGATGGTCAATTAAGATATTTCTTTTTTGTTTTGAAACATTCTTCTTACATCATCTACAATTTATAGTCAGTTATCCATGCTTCATTCAGCATTAGTTGTGTTGTATCATTAGCTCTGTTCTTTTCTCTTACATTTGACGATATTTCAGAGAGTCAGAGGCCAAAATGAGCGAATTATTGAAACAAGGGTAGAAATTTTTCCTAATTCTTTCAAACAGAGCTCGAATTCCGGAAAACCGCTTTCAGTTCAAAGTCATCTATGGTCAAATATCTCAGCGTTCATTGCAAGTTATGACTAATTAGCTGAGTCAGTTAGAGACTCATTTTAAATCCCTTTTCTTATTAGAATCAATACAACGAGTCTTCGAATACTGGATATAAAGGTAAACCTCTTCTGTTCAGAAAGTACGGTTGTAATACTGTTATAAACGTTTTACTGTACTCGTGAGATCGATTGACTCTCGACGTAGTCTGCATCGGCGCAATAATGGGCTCATTAAAGACATACATGTCGTTCTTTCCAGTCAGTTGAAGCTAATCTGATTGCCATAAGCATTAAATTAGGTTGTTTTTTATTGATTGTTGAAACGATTTTTATAGAAGAAACCTTTGTCTTCACAACCCTGGGTGCCAAAGGAGAAACAGGGCCGACAAACACATTTGGGTATGCAGGAACGCCGCTGGAAGGTAAAGTAACATTAGACAATGGCATCCAAATTTGGACTGTTCCCGTGACTGGAATCTACGTCATTGAAGTGTCAGGTGCTTCAGGCGCTAATGGCACAGTGATAGGCAAAGATCGCGTATCTTGGAGGCTCGGTGGCTTAGGAGCCGAGATAAAAGGAACTTTTAAACTTAATAAAGGAACCCCGCTTAAAATCCTTGTTGGTCAAGAGGGTCTTCGTACTGAAAAATTCGGTGACGCCCCTGGAGGTGGGGGAGGTGGAAGCTTTGTGGCTTTGTTAAATAACACTCCGCTAATCATTGGAGGAGGGGGAGGGGGCGGAAGCCCAGCGCGCAAACAATTTAAAGACGCTGACCCTGGTCAGGCAACAGAGAATGGCACCAGGTGTGGTGGGACGGAAGGGTCCGGTGGACAAGTCTGTGACGCTGATACGGGCAACATTGATTATGGCTTGTTAGCTGGGGGAGGAGCAGGTCTAACGGGGGATGGGAACGGGGAACCTGGACCTGTGATTGCACAGACGCCCTCAAGTTTTATTAATGGCGGAACTGGGGGAACATGTCCGGTATCCCAAGGGGGCTTTGGTGGGGGTGCATTCGCCTTTGTACTTGGTGGTGGTGGGGGTGGGTATTCCGGTGGGGGAGTTGTTGGGAC